CCATATACACCAGTGTTTTAAGGGAACCGAGTTAAAGGGCTCTGCAACAACAAAAATATCTGAATACCGTCCTGTAGCCGCGACCCGGGACATCACCGATTGGTACAAGGTCTCAACCCGACGGCAGAACTGGGTCGGGGTCAGTGTGTCTGGTCAGTATGCAACCTTGAACCGACGGTTACGGTCACGCATGTAGAGGTAATCGCGTAGACGAGAATCCCTCAACAAGCACTAGAGATGTGCAAGTATCAAAAACTAAAGTGTGGCAAACGCTGCGTGAAGAGGGGCTGTATCCGTTTCACGTCCAACGTGTACAAGCCCTTCAACCTGACGATTTTCCAGCAAGAGTGTGGTTTTGTGAGTGGTTGTTGCATCAACATGACAATAATCCGGACTTTTTGAAGTGCATATTGGTGACAGACGAATTTACGTTCACGCGTAATGGGGTGAATAACTTTCGCAACACTCATGTTTGGTCAGTAGAAAATCCGCACGCTGTCCGTCGGGCACATTTTCAACAAACATTTTCGGTGAATGTTTGGGCTGGCATGATGAACGGTATGCTCATTCGACCATTTATTCTCCCAAATCGATTGGACGGGATGCAATAACTAGACTTTTTACGCAACATTTTGCCTTCCTTGTTAGAAGATGTGCCATTAAGTGTAAGACAATCAACGTGGTTTCTGCGTCTGCTCGGTAGCGCTTCAGCTGATTTCATTTTCTGTTGGAGCAGTATGATTTCGGGCAGAGACGTACTTAGCCCTTCTCGTCAACTGGAGAGTGAGTACTTTTTCCTTTATTTTTTTTTACTTGGTCGCCCTCGTTTCACTACACATTACCTTTGTTATTTCAAGGGTAGTTGTTTCTGAAAAGGAAAACCCCAACTTTACGGACACCCTGTATAGAAAAATGAAAAGGCATTCTAGATCATTTTAAAGAACAAAAAGCAAGAAGCAGTAGATAAATAAAAAACAATTCCAAATGATTATTAAAAACAAAAAAATATCGAACAGTAGTAGAACAAAATAACAATTCCTGGTTATCATGAAAAGCTAAAAAGTACAAAAATCATAACACAGGATGTAAATAACGTCACAGCAGAAAATGTCCCTACCATTTCGACTACCGCATACTCTCAATTTTTCTTAATTGTGATGGTTTTATGACTATTAAGAGTTGCTTTTTGTTTTATTACTGTGTTGTTTCTTTGAGTTTTTAATTTCTATTTCGTTGTTTTGTTTTATTAATAAATGTATGTATATATGAACTTTCGAGTTTTCATATTTTTCCGCAAATCGAAGCCCAATCCGGCAACATCGCAAGCAAGGCACTCTCATATACGCAGACGTCAATGTCAGATGCAGTGTTGCTAGACCTTGTAAAGTTTCACCAGATTTGGTGATTTTTTATAATAATCTGGTGATTGATGAAAGACTTTTTGAAAAATGGCATTTTCTGGTGATTTTTAAAATATCTGTGCAATTTAAAATTTGTGAGATAAAAGGTAATTAATATGGATGTTTTTATGACTATTAAGAGTGGCTTTTTGTTTTATTACCGTGTTGTTTCTTTGAGTTTTTAATTTCTATTTCGTTGTTTTGTTTTATTAATAAATATAGGTATATATGAACTTTCGAGTTTTAATATTTTTCCGCAAATCGAAGCCCAATCCGGCAACATCGCAAGCAAGGCACTCTCATATACGCAGACGTCAATGTCAGATGCAGTGTTGCTAGACCTTGTAAAATTTCACCAGATTTCGTGATTTTTTATAATAATCTGGTGATTGATGAAAGACTTTTTGAAAAATGACAGTTTCTGGTGATTTTTAAAACATCTGTGCATTTTAAAGTTTGTGAGATAAAAGGTGATTAAAATGGTAGATAACAAATTTACCTGTGCCTTTTGATTTTTTTTAATTTCAGGTTAGTGATTATTGTGAAACGGTTTTTGAAAACAATTTGTTTTGATAAAAAATATAGGATTATTTTTTATAATAGTTCTGATCTGATCATTAAAAAGTAGTTTAAAATGACACAAAAACAGCACCAGAAAACATGTATTGAAATTGTGTTGTAGGTGCTAATTAAATCATATTTTACTGCCTTCGCCACAGTAGCAGGAAATTTATAGTGAATTGTATCTTACTATATTACTAAGATGTATAAAAACATAACACGCGCATATTTTTGTTTACAACTAGTAACCCAGCTTAAAATATTAACTTCCTGACGATTATTTTCATTCCAATTTCTGGTGAGTTTTATTTCTTGACCTGGCAACACTGTATGGTAATGATGGCAGTGGAAATACGTGCTGGAAATACAGAATTCTTATTAAAATGATCTATTAGACTAACCTTTATCTTTCAAGTAGAAAATCCGGTAAAATCCGGAGTTCTAAAAGACGCAACAACACCAAACGCCAGATAACAAGTTTTCGCATTTATTAGGCATTGACCCGCATTGTGTGTGTGTGCGTGCTACTCTGCGTGCGCGAAAGCACCAAATATTAGCCAGAGTGATTCTACTGGCCCTATACTGTGGTGATACGAGGGTTGTCCCAAAAATAAGGTCCCCACATTTTTTCAGACACAAGGAATTTTGTATATGAAAAAATCATTTACTATTCGAAACGTTGATCTTTGAGCTATTTAATAGCCATTTTTTTCTACGCAGTTTTTTTAGACGCTTCGTGTTGGGATCGGTATTTTCGAAACAACCCTCGTACGTCCCTCTGTTCCAGCGCGAACAATCAACACGGCCACGTATTCCTTTTTCTGCAACCGAAAATCGAAAACTCATTCGGTAGCCATTTATTCCAAACACCGAAATTTCACATACCGTATATTCTACCGTGCAGTTTTTATTGACGGGCGGCAGCGGTTCCTCTTTTATTTTTCCGGTGCTGGTGTTTTTGCAGAAACGTATCAGTTTTTATTTTCTGATGCACCGCTTGCAGCAAAAACCAAAAAAGCTTTTAGTAGCTTGATTCAGCAGCGCAGGAACAGCACACGCGGAATGAAATTTGGATTTGGAAACGCGGGTATAGGTTCAACGATTTTTGCCGAATAGAGCAGCGTCTAAGCCAATGATTAAATAAAAAACCCACTTACAGAAACAAGCTTTTATTTAGCTGCCGAAACGAATTAAAGACCCAGAAAAAAAACCGATTGGAAATTTTACAAAATTTTACATTTTATGCCTTTAAACCAGAGTTCCCCAAACTTTTTTGTGTCGTAGACCCCTTGCCATGTTTTTCTTTGTTGGGTAGACCCCCTACTTACCTGATATTGATTTCCTGTAAATTTCTAACTGTAGTGAAGTTTAGTGTTAAAAACACATGTTAATTTATACATTTATTAATTGAATTTAAATTAAAACTACTCAAAATAAAATTTTGTATCTGTTATGTAAAATATACATGACATTAAATAAACAGGTGTCTGACCAATAAGAGCCCGCATTGGGAATAAGTGCCCGCATTGAAAAAAAAAGAATAAGAGTGATAAAATAAAAAAAAAGTGAAAAATAATAAAAAAAAGTTTTTTACTTAAAATAGTACAATAAGCGAGTTCGTTTATTAATTATAACATAAACGTATGTTCTACAATAATTTCACTGTCAGTTTGATTAAATTCCGCTTCTTATACGTATAAGTTGTCTAAAAATAGGCAAAAAATTAACAAATTTTAGTGTGTACCTATCCTTGAATTTTCAGAATAATTTAAAAAAAAATATTTCCTATAAAGGGGGGGATCTTTAAAAAAATCAATGCGGGCACTTATTCCCAATGCGAGCATTTATTGGTCAGACACCAATAAACATAAAATAAACTATAAATAAAATAACATAAGCAATAAGTCAATATTTTTAGTGAGAAGGATGAACCTGATGCTTTAATAATAAATTATCAACATTTGGCGTCAATTTTGTAAGGGTTAATCTTAAATCTCCTCGGCTAATGATGTCCAGTCTGTTTCTTTTTTTCGTTAGATTGGTAACAGCGCTGAACCCCCTTTCCACTAGATATGACGATGGAAAGGAAATTAAAAATTTCCTCGCTATATTCCATAATACGGGATAAGTAACGGGTATGTTGTTTTGCAGCCAAAATTGCTGATATCCGTTTTTAAACTGAACCTTAAGTTCTTCGTTTGTGCTTAGTTCAGTCAGTTCCTCTTGTATTATGACATTCGTTTCTTCTAGGTCACCATATGGATTAATTATCCACGGTGGTATTACCATAGTCAAAATATCCTCAAACCTAGATTCAAAATCTGAATAGAGGGCATTTAAATGTTGAACGTAAGTTGAAACGTCGTCTTCCTGGCAGCTTGTCTGTGACAAATTCGGGAACTGAGAAAATTCGCCCCGTCCAATATTTTGCTTCATTAGTTTAACTCTGGCAAGAAACGCTGATAAGATGGACTTCGTTTTAATCAAATTCAAAATTAAATTTTGTAAACAAATCTGTTAAATAGGCGATGTCTGTTTTCCTCTTCATTAAATTTTCTTTTAAAATTTTATCTTTAGTATCCAGAAATTCTAATATAGTCTCAAAAAGTGCAAAAAATCTTGTCAAACATAAGCCTTTCGACAGCCAGCGTACTTCAGTGTGAAGGAGTAATTGATGAAAGTGTTCGTCATTTTCTTGACACAACTGCGCAAATAACCGCGTATTCAACGCGTTGCTTCGGATTCGGTTTACTGCATCAATGACTAAATGAAGTGATTCATGCAATCTAACACTCAAATTATTAGCAACTAAATGTTGTCGATGGATGACGCAATGCATTGCTAACACCCCTGACACATTTTGTTTTAAATAGCTTATAAATCCACGATAACGTCCAACCATGGCAGGTGCTCCATCTGTAGCTACTGATATTATATTTGATAAAGGAATTGCTTTTTCAATGAAGTAATCCTTCAAAACATGGAATATTGATTCACCTTTAGAGTCGGTTATCAAAGTTCTTGCGAAGAGCAGTTCTTCGTAGATTTCTTGATTCATAATAAAACGAACATATGCCAATAATAATGCTGCATTATCAGGTAAAGTTGACTCGTCCAGTTGTATAGAGAAATGGATCGTTTGCAAATAATTACATAAGAAGCTTTCAATATCAGAACTCATTTCATCAATACGTCTTTCTACAGTATTGTTGCTTAAGGGAATTCTTTTAATGATATCAGATGCAGGTTTGTGTAAAACAGTTTTTAAAACCTCTTCAACGGCTGGCAAAATTAACTGCTCTCCGATAGTATGCGGTTTTCCGGATTTTGCTATAAGTAACGAGATATTGTAAGACGCCCGCAAACCATCATCATTTCTTTGTGACGTCGAAGCGAACATCCTGTCCAGTGTAGGTCTCTTCTGAAATTTATCTTTGAGTGTTTGAAAGTATTTCAAATCTTTCTCTGTTTTATCAGGGTGGCATCTTCTCAGATGATCTTGCAGTTTAGATGGTTTCATAGCGTCATTGCATAAAACTTTGTTGCATAAAAGGCACATAGGCGATTGTTTGTCCGGCAATGATGGAATGAAGCCAAATGTCAAATAATCAACGCTGTACTGTCTACATTTCTTTTTAGATTCGGACATGACATCAGTAATCTGTGGGCAAAATTAAATTATTTAAATAAGACAGAAAATCCAGCAGCTGTATATTAAAAATATTTTTTGATTTTTCCGAAAACATTCCATAATTTGAACATCTTCCTGCAACAATTAGCTCGAATTACGGAGATTGCACTGTAATTATATTACCGATTGCTAAAACTTTCAAAAAGAAACTATTGAGGAGTACTCGTGTAATTTTGCATGATTGAATATTTAACCACTAATAGCTGATTGGTGTAATTTATCTATCTTTGCTAACTATGAGTACAAAACTAAAATTTAATAAAAAATAATGTACTTACTTTTCTCCAGCACTTACAAACAAAATAACACTGACTCACTATAATTTGTGTGATATACTATCTGTTTATATTTTTAAAAATATTTTCTTAGCACTTTCCTTTTCAAGATTCAGGAAACGAATAAACGTATTTGTCCCACATTCGTATTTATAGAGTGACGAATTGAACAAGTCAGTGCAAGGTAGCGAATACCAACATCCTACAACTTACACAATTTTATAAACATATATAATAAGTGTTTTATTTCATAGGTACTTTTATAAATAATGTATATGTTGTGATATTATAAGATAGTATGATGTAAGTAAATAGGTACTATCAGTGTATGTGTTGAGATCCACTATCGTGGACCCCCATATTCATTTCATGGGCCCGCAATTTTTTTTTCGCTGACGTAGACCCCTTGCAGGTTGTCATAGACCCCTAGGGGTCGATATAGACCACTTTGGGAATCAATGCTTTAAACAATATTGAAGCTCCTTCACCCCAAGTTCTCAAATAAACGCGTTACGTTTTAACATCAAGAGGGGAAAAGAGAGCTACTGACAAACTCATGAAAAGTTATTTGAAGAATAGTAAATAATGTGTGAGCATTGACAGTTCACAAGTAAAAATATGGCAGTTCCCAGTGAATATGATGACGCCAAAATGACGTCATTATTCGGTCACTTTTGGTCGGAAACGTCGTTGACTGAACAATGACGTCTTTTTGACGCCATTTTTATAACGACAACAAGACGTCCTTCAAAAGGCTGTCATTTTGATGTATTTCTTAGGACAGTCAATACTGAAAAATCAACACTTAACTATAAAGAAAATGAACAGTGAGGTAAGATCTACAAATAACTACTTTATTGTTGTTTATAAAAAAGTATCAGGCATTATTCGACCAAAAATATCTTGTTAATATGGCTTTTCTAATAATACTATATTTCAAATTGCCATTTTACATTTTAACAAATTCTGAACCATCGGAGGACTGGAACGTGTTTGACATCAAACGGTGTTTTTTAGTTTTTATCAACCATTTCGATACACTTTGTACAAATGCTCCTGGAAAATTGCAGAGGTGAAAACGACGTCTCGGAACGAGAGAGTTAAAGAGTGGTAGACCAGTAGATATGCTTCTACCCCTGAACTCACTGCTTGTGGGGCGTCGTTGTCAAAGTCTCAATTCTTAGGAGCATTTGAATATACCGTGCAGGCGAATCTACGTCATATCGACGTCAAATAGACGTCATAACGACCTCAGAAAGAAGTCACATCCACGTCATATAGACGTCATATCGACTTTGTCTTTGATATTTGGGTGTGACACTAGATCGTCATAGTGACGTCATTTCTACGTCATTTTTGTTGGTCGGCGTATAATAAAAATGAAGATATTATGACGTCACTATGTTCAGTAGGTTAGTTGTGGAGTTCCACAAGGAACCGTATTAGGACCAATCCTGTCTACTTTGTATATTAATGACCTTTTTAAGTTGAACAATGATGGAGAAATTATTGGTTATGCTCATATATTCAGACGAAGATTGGGCTTGTTTAGAAAACAAAATTGCATTGGACTCTCACAAGGTTATACAACACGACAACAGATCTTCTTCGAATTTTAATTAACTCCAAATTAAAATCTTGAATAGCTATGAAATCGTGCAATCAGTTGATGATTTCAAATATTTAGGGGTATTCATAGATAAAGTTTACACGTTGTACGCTTAATTAAGAAATTAAGATACCTCATTCCAAAAATGATACATTTACACAGGGTGTTCCTTAATGATATGCGAATATTCAAGGGTGTGAATGTACATGAAAAATTAATGTTAATTTGCTTTATAAACTGTGGTCCAAAAATGTTTCCTTTCAAAAACTCGGGGTATTGAAGTTTTAGAAAAAAATGGAAATTTATTAATTTTTTCAGATGCGCTGCAGATATTTCACTGATATTTAGTACGTAGCCAGAGTTAATAACGTTGCATATTTTTCAATGCAAAAATAATTTTTAGCTTCAACAGTGGCGTGCGTACGGGTATTGACTTCGATATTTTTTAAGTAAAAAATGGTACGGCAATGATTTTTTCGAGATATTTGTTTGTAAAGCATTACACATCTTTCCAATCCGTATAAGAATATTCATCAAACGTATACTCCATGATGTTTAACAACTTATTGTCAAGTTAAAATTACTCACAAATGTCACGAAAATCTATGTAATGTCAAAACAACCGACATTATGTCGCTTTTCAAGATACGTAATACCCTTGCCGGCTCAAATTTCTATTGCATGCAAAATTTTGTGCCACACCAAATCCGTATCATTAATATTTTGCTCTACAAGGTGTTTCAGTTTATGGTTGCATAACTTTAAGATTCGATAGAACTAGAAGCCATACACAAAATGAATATCCGCTAACTCTTGACTGGAGAATAAAAATGGGATTTTTATAAAACTTACAAAAAAAAAACAGGTAAAAGAAACTAAATTTCGTGCATTCACAATTGCAAAAAAACGTTTCAGGTTTCAACAGACAACAAAACTAACTGTCAACTAATTGACGTTTAACCTTATTCTGCTTTCAATTTCAAAAATATTTGCAGGCTCAGCCTACTTCTAAAAATTATCGAGATACTGACTTTTTAACGTTATTTTATCATAAATAATTAAAAATGCATCGAACCTTAAAAATCGAAATATCTCGAAAACGGCTAACTATAACGAAAATTCACAAGAGAGCTTTTTTATGTTGAAAAGTGCGAAGAATCAGTTTTTTATTCAAAAAGCAAAAAATTGCACTAAGAAAAAATTTTCGGTCATTTTAATACACTACAGGTACAGTAGAGAGCGCCCTCTAGCGGCTACAGTAAAACTATGCCCATGGTTCGTTTTGTCGTACCAAAAAACACTTGTATACCAATTTTCACTGTTATACATCAAATATTGTTCGAAATATTTAAAAAAAACTATTTTAGAAAGTAAATTTAAACACCCTGTATTTCGGAAGCCACCCATTTTTCAACCCATGTTTATATAGACTTTATGCATTAATTTTAAAAGTTCTATCGAATCGTAAAGTTATGCAACAATAAACTGAAACACCCTGTAGAATAAACAGAAATAACAAACAAATGGAAATGTATATAAATTTAACTGCTTAAATGTTTAATAAATTTTGTTTACCTTGCCTAGTAATTATAATTCGCGATGATAATTGGTGCTTCGTAATATCTCCGCATGCAGGATTCAATTTAGGGCCCTGTATGCTCACCGGACCTCATTATAAAACTGAAATAATATTGGGATTAATTGCAAATATTATTCCACAAATGAAATGATAAAAATCACAAATGTTAATTGGACTCTATCCAAACAAAATTAGTCGAAATTTCTCTGTTAGCTCTCATGATACGGCGTCATAGACCAATCGATAAAGCTATTCTTTAACGAAAATAGGAAATTACATTACACAGCAATATTTTTGACACCACCTGAGAACAAAACACATTATTTATGGCAGAAAGTTTAAATAGTCCAGGAAATATATTCGCATCCGTTCGGAAAAATATTCGTATTCAGATTTCTTGCATATTCTTATTAATAAAAATATTTAAAAACACTTAAAAAACGCGCTTTTATAGCTCACAGAACTAAAAAGTAGAAAATAATTTTTAATTACAAATAGTTTATACAGGGTGTAAACGTTATGGTCGAACAATCAATCATAATTAATGACCTCAAAATAAAATTCTAATATAATTTAAGTTATTAACAGAATAATTCAATTCAGAATAAAATAATAATAATAATATTTATTCACTCAATGTACAAAGATAACAAACAATATGAGTAAATAAATATAAAATCAAAACAGGCCCAATAGAAGGCATCGCCTGTACATGGACCAATAATTTAAGTTGAAACTGTAGAATGCAAATGACAAAAAAGGACAAAAATTAGCTACAGTAGATTATGTATTTAGTTGATGTTCGTATTTATGAGTTTATGAATTTCAGTCCTAGATATAGAATGTAGCCACTTTTTTAAATTTCTTTTGAAACAATTTCCGAAACGTAAATCTTTTAAGTCTTTAGGTATAATTTCATAAAATTTAGGCGCTAAATATATGATCGCTGCATTATAGATTTATGCGGTTGAGGAACTACTGTGCCACGAATTTTGTACCTGGTATAATGATTATGTTTAATTTTTTGGTCGGTGTTTACAAATTTATGGTAGTGAGTGATACTGTGTAAGAAATAAAGCTGTCTTATATCATACATTCGAACATCTGCGTATAATTTTTCAGTGGGATAAAGTTTCGGTTTTTTAAATATCATTTTTAGAATACTTTTTTGAAAAACATCTAAATTATAGATATGTGAGGAACATGCAGCTCCCCATGCTAATATACCATATGTGAGATGAGGCTCAATCAGTGCATGGTATAATGTTCGAAGATATTTTTCTGTCAATATATTCCCAAGGTATTTAATTTTGTAGGATACAAATCTAACTTTCTTTAAAATATAATTGACATGGATGTCCCATTGTAAGTGAGGATCCAAGACCACTCCAAGGTATTTTATGTTGGGAACTCTATTAATTTGCATTTTTTGATCATTAATGTTGAAGGAGAAATTTGTGTAACTTGGCAGATGTTTAGCATAAGATCCAAATGGCAAAAAATGTGTTTTAGAATAGTTAATGCTTAATTTTCTACTGTTAAACCACCGAATAATTTTGATAAAATCATTTTCAATTACAATTTTCAGATCAGACCAGTCAGTGCCTTCATATAATATTGCAGTATCATCTGCAAAACTAGTTATTTTGCCAACACAATTAATTTGGAAAATATCATTTAAATATATATTGAATAACAGCGGACCTAAGACAGTTCCTTGTGGGACCCCACACTTAATATACATTTCTTTACTAAATGTTCCTGATATCTGCACAGATTGTGGGCGATTTGACAAATAATTTTCGATCAGTGAGTACGCGTTTCCTCTGAAACCAATTATCTCCAATGCTTCTGATAATAATTTGTGATTAACTGTGTCGAAAGCTTTCTTTAAATCAACAAAAATGCAGATTGAAGGGATTCTGTTATCAATATTTTGATGTATTTGATTTACAATTTTAGTTATTGCGTCCGATGAGGCCTTCCCTTCTGTAAATCCATATTGATTTTCACTTAAAATTTTGAATTTTGTGAGGTATCGAATCATTCTAGTAGATAAAACTTTTTCAAAAACCTTTGCTACACTGGATATTATTGATATTGGTCTATAGTTGTTAACATCTGTTTTTGTTCCTGATTTATGTATCGGTATTATATTACCTTTTTTTAAAATTGAGGGATATATGCCAGATTCAAAGCATTTGTTGATTAGGTAAGTGAGTGGTTCTGTTATGTCCTCAGCTATAATTTTCAAATGCTCGCTTTTAATACCATCGAACCCAGGACTTTTCCGATTTTTTAAGGACATAACAGTGGTGTATACTTCACATTGCTCGACATTATCCAAAATAAATGAGTTCAAAGTTCTTTTTGCAGGCTGAGTATTTTGTACATTTGCTTGTATATTACTTGCTAAATTTTCGCTTATGTCAGTAAAGAATTGTACAAATTCATCGCATATCTGTTGAGTATTTTTTAATACTGTTCCCGATGTTGAATTTAACTCAGTGACATACCCTTTAAGTTTTGTTTTCCCAGTAATCTCATCAATAGTTGTCCAAAGCCGCTTAGGATCATTTAAGTTATTATTCAATTTATTTAGGTAATGTTTTCGTTTGGTTTGCCTTACAAGCTCTATAAATTTATTTTTATATTGGTTGTAGCAGTCGGTATTCTCTGTAGTTGGCGTTAGTTTCATTACATTATATAGTCTTTCTTTTTCTATTGCCGATGTTATTAATCCTTTGGTAATCCAAGCATTTCTGCTTTTCTCTTTGTGACTAGTTATTACTTTATTTATACTAATATCTATTAGTTTTTTTATTTTCTCTATGAACAGTCCCATTGCTTTGTCTATATTATTTATAGAGTATAATTGTTCCCAGGATTCTTGTTTGACATTTGATATTAGTTTTGAATTGTCGACAAAAAATTTGTAATTTTTCTGGTTGTTATTAACGGTAGGGATGTTAGAATGTTTTTCATTTGAAGATATCAGTAAAATAGTGGAGAAGTGGTCAGTAATATCGCTTTGTAGGATTATTGGTATACAAGTAATTTTATTGGATAGGTCTTTCACAAAGCAGTGATCTATACATGTGCCACTGATGGACCTTGTAGGTAGGTTTATATAGGACAGAAATCCGTTACTTGATAGGATATTCAAGTATTCATTTGTGATGGGATCATCGTCCAAAATATTTATATTGACATCTCCCAAGAAAATATGTTGCTTTAAATGAACTTTATTTTGATTTTGAAAAAAAATTCGATATTCTTTAAAAACTCGTCGGGTTCTGAACATGGCGGACGATAAATTTTGTTATGGTTAATTTGGATCATTATGTTTAAAATTTTGATTCCATCGCTGAAAGTGAATGTATCATGATTATATTGCAGTTTATTTCTTACAAAAACTATCACCCCATCGTTTTGGTTATAAGTGCCAAAGTTATACAGCGTGTCATATCCCTGCTGATTGAAGCAAGAAATATCAACCACTTGCCACGTTTCAGTTAAAAATCAAAATTGTACCATATTTGGTCGAGTAGTATTTTTAAGTAATCAATGTTGTGTTTTATACTCCTTATGTTCATATTAAACATTCGAAATTTTGCATCAGAATTTTGTGTACATAAATTAAGTTCATCGACGTTTTGTGCTATATTTGTTGCAATACTTGGAATTTGGAAATCATTAATGTATTTATTTACTGACATTTTTATGTCCTCTTTAGAGATAGAAGTACTAAAAGATGAACTTGAATTTTAAAAAAGTATCCTTAAGTTTTGTTGTTCCTGATAATATTTGTACGATGGACAGTTTTTGTCGGTAGGTGAGTGGTTAATATTATAATTTTTTTTATATCTTTCATTTCCATATCTACAGTTGCAGCATTCTATTGATACATGCTTACAATTTTCTCCTTCGTGACCGTTGCCACAGTTGGCACATATCTTCTCATTCCTGCAATTCTTTTCTGTATGATTAAAACGGTAGCATTTTCTACACTGAGAAATGTCGTTATTTTGATATACTGTCAAACATTGCCATCCCAGAAGTATTATTCTATTATTGTCTTCGAAGATTTTTTTGAATAGCTTTCCAGAAGATTCCGCGTAGATAGTGTAATTGTTTCTTGATGGAAAATATTTGATAAACTTTACTTGTATGTCTCCACTCTGAATCATATAATTCTGATGTATAAGATCTTCTTCAATTTGCTTTTCATTCGGTTTCTCACTACTTTTATAATTTATTATTTTAATTTTTGGATTTAACATTTTCGGCTCAGTAACTTGGTATTTTTCATTCAGTTTATTTTGTAGTTCATCTTTCAGTTTATTATGGTTTGATTCATCAATTTTTATATCAATTCCGCCATTTTTTGAGTTTCCCACACTTTCTATTTGAATGTTCAGAGATGAAAGATTTATTCTCTTACTCAATTCTCTTCTCGTATTATCGCAAGATTGTTTTTCTTTTGGAATAACTGTGTTGCATTTCAGTGATTGCCTTTTAGTAATAGGTATCGTTTGTTTTAAGATTTGTGTAATAAACGTAATACATCGATTTCTAAATGTTTCTCCCTGTTGCATTGATACGGAAACTAAAAGGATATCCTTGTGACACTTGAGAAATATATTTGCACTGACAAAGTTTGTTTAAGACAAAAACGAAATGCATACTTCCAGCTTCATTACTCTTACGTAACGGTAAATATATAAAAATAAAGAAGTATGTGTGACAAACCGAGTTTAGAGACGCGGCGAACAAATTGAAGACATTCATCATATTTTTATTGGAACGCGTTTCGAGCATTTCGAGTTACGTTCCTCCGCACCTACCTATTTCCTTTTTCCTGCTTTTTGTGCTGCCGGAATCTGTGCAGCTCACTCGAGATGCGGCCATGGGCGTGCATATAGGGTAGGAAGAGGTGTTACACCCAACTAACAATTATCACTCCTATTAGAGTTGCAAGAATGATTATACAGTTTTCCTTAAACAGCGTTGTATACTGTAAGAACATTAGCAAAACCCTCTTAGAACAGCTATACAAGCGGAATGGGCACACCTAATAGGACACTTCAGTCATTTAAGA